GGACGCCAAAACCAACAACAAAAATGAAAGGAGGAAAAGGATTTCTTGAGCTTGAAATCAGTGGGAATACTAAGAAAATTCAATGGAAATATCTGTAAGATAAATAACAGTAGTAACTAAGGATCCAATTAGGGGAGTTTTTGCCAGAAATCATAGATTATGCTTATAAGTAATCAGCCCAAGAGCAGATGGGAAAGGTGGATGTGTTCAAAAGGGAGTGAAATAAATGCCTGCTGAGATGAAGTTAGTTTTCTAAGAGTGCTAGTTCTAATCTGAAACCTAAATAAGAAATCCCATGGGGTGCCTGGGCGGGTCAGTTGGTTAAGCATCTGCCTTCAGCTCAGGTCATGATCTCAGGGTCCTGGGATCAAGCCCCACATCGGGCTCCCTGCTCAGCAGGGAGTCTGCTTCTCCCTCTCCCTCTGCTCCTCTCCCTGCTCATGCTCTCTATCTCAAATAATAAAACCTAAAAAAAAAAAGAAATCCCATATACAGAAATCCCATTCCCAGAACCTCTGCATATTGTAGAAAGAATATCTGCCAATGTAACTGAGATGTGAAATGGAAAGATTACAGACATGATCTTCAATTCAAATATTCTAGTCCATTGTTAGGCTTTGTTTAAGCCCTGGAAAATAGGCTCAGCTGGTCATGGACTGAGCAAAGAAAAGGACTGTCAGCATTTCATAGATCTCAGCTTAGTGATTAAGTATCAGATCTCCCATGGTGGCAAATTTCTATGATGTGAATCTATGTTGTACAGTAGTTCTAGGACACAGACAATCCTGATTCAATCAAAACTAAATTTAAAGAATGTTTCTATACTGAATTAGTCATTCCCTATAAGGTACCTTGTCTTCCACTGCTTAAAATGTCATCCACATAGCCTGAAAGGTGTAATCAAAGGTATTCTGCTTCTTACATAGAATTCAAAAATGAAGATCTGTTTGGGTCCCAGGTGTACGGAGTTGCACAGTTTAGCAGGTAAATTTGGTGTTGTGGTTCTGTTTTCACAAGTGTCAAGGCTGGATGAGATGGATACCATATAGGCTAGCAGTCACTCTAGAAAGCAGCTCAAAGGCTCAATAAACCAGCCATCCGAGGTATTTGCTTAATCCTTCAATCCTGACAGTTGGCAGGTGTGATTTACTGAGTAGATTAAGTACTTTGCTCTGCCTACTGCAATGAATAAAGACAGAAGTAATCTTTGCTCGCAGACTTTCCCCAGCATCACCAGACAAGTCACAGATCTCTCTTTCCCCACTAAATGGAATCTGTTTGAGGCCTGAGCAAAACAAAGATATAAATGCAGGATTTGGAACATGATTGTTCTGTGATGTTTTTATACTCAACACTGGTTTTTTACAGAATAAGTATTAACTCTCTCTGCTGGGCAGCATCTTGCTATGTACGGCTTAGTCCCAAGGTCTCATTAAGAAAGGTGGTCAGCTGGGGTTTGCATTTCTGTGCTCCACCCAGGTCCAAAGGCTACATTCCTAATGTTTGTTAACTTCTCAATTACCTTTTGTATTTTGGTATATGCTAGTTCTATAAATATATTATCTCCTATATTTAAGAGGCTTAGAATACACTTGTCATGTTAATTGTTCCTTCTTTTAATTTGAAAATGAGAAAAAGTTTATGTGCCACCTGGGGTACTTTCTATCTATACAGACTTGATTCATTCAAATTATAGCTTGCCTTTTAATCTTAACCTACAGAAACCAAGATATTATTCTTAAACCATAAGGAAAACATGAAAGGAAAAATGATACAAACTCAACGAAGATGCAAAGGAGAATTCAGACCTGTAGTCAATCAATTAGAAAGTAAATAAATGCATAAATTCAAGAGTTTGAGAAAATAGAGGCCAAAAGACTACTAAGATAATATTATGGCTATGAAGAAAGCTGTTAATATAAAAAACAAGATTTAAACAACTATAAGAAAAATTATTTTTAAAAATCTAGCTATGATTGACTTAAAAATGAAGGCATTTGGCTTGAAAAATGTGTGAGTCAGAGAGGAAAACTGATTCAATCTAAAAAAGTTAGAAGACACTGAAACAGAAAGTTAACTATTGCTCAGACAGCCTCCTGGTTGGACTGGCAGAAGGCAGTCAAGGAGGGAGTAGCAGATTTCACTTTTAGACAGTGAAATCCAAGGCTTGAGTCTTCACAAGGTGACAAAAATCATAGCTATCAACTTTACCCCAAAATACACTTCCACATTATAAATTTTAAAATGTTTAACTATGTTTCTAATCATCTCACTAAATTTAAATATTATAAATCTCATCTTTAAAAACTTAATCAGTTTTTGTTTTACAAAATATTTAATTTCAATATACCTTTATCAATTATAGTAACCAGTAATTTTCCAGAAGAAAAAATATCCTAAATAAAAATAGATGCAGGAACAATAAACTCAGAAGCTATACTTTTGAAAGATGACTGTTATACTTTCATTTATTATAAACACGTAATTTTTAAGTTTGTAACTATTAAATAACAAATTATGTCTTGATCTTAAAACTGTACATATCTATTTTCAATCTTTATTTTCTACTTAGATTTCATTCTATAATTCTTAAGTGCCAAAAATAGTAAGGAACCTAGTATGACAATCCAATAAAAAAAATAAAACTCCTAAACCAAAGCCGATACAGTTTATATGAGCAGCTCAGACTTTTTATAATCTTAAAAACTATTGAAGACTCCAAATGCTTTCACATGGGCTCTATCTATTCATATTTACTATGTCAAAATTGGAAACTAAAATATTAGGTAATTAAAAAATAAATAAACCCATTATATGTTAACATAAATAACATATTTTATGAAAAATAACTATCTTTTCCTAAACAAAAATATTAATGACAAAAGTGGGTCTGTTTTACATTTTTTCAAATTCTTTTAATGTATGACTTAATAAAAGAAAACTAAGGATCAGCTGCTACATTTAATCTGTTATAATGTGTTGTTTTGGTTGAAGGCTATCTAGCCTCACATAGATACATAGTTGCAAAAGGGAATCTTTTATAGACTTTTCAGATAATTGTGGACATTCTCCTTTAATTCTACATTAAAACTCAGTAACTGATAATTTCTAAAAGGCTAACTGCAACATGGAAAATATAACCATATCAATGAACTTTTCATACTGTGTTTCATTAAATCCATTGGTTTGAATAGATTTTATACCCATGCAAGATTTTATAATTCCATGCATCATTGGAATTATGAGTTTTGCAGGTTTACCAAATGCTAACACATTTCATTAAACAATTAAAAAATGCATTTGCTAATATCAACATCATTGTTATGAGAAAAGTCTATATGTACAGGAAAACTATTAGGCTTAAGATGGTGAATACAAGTTTTCCAAGATTCTAATTTTTACTTGAAAGTTTTAATTTTACCACTGGCAACCAATGCTGTCAGCTGTTTCCCTTGAATTAACAGGCTCACTTTGTTCATTTTTAAAGAAAATTCTACCAAATGCCTAAGTCTAAAAAATATAGTTTGTATGCTTTTCTTTTAAGTAAAAATAGTATTACGTGACAAAAGTGTCTAATTTAGCTCACAATTCAAACTACATGAGTACTTCTTGAGACAACCATCATATTTCAGTATGCTGCAAATGCTTTATGCATAGTATCCACTTTATTACTCAGGATATTAAAAAGATAGGCACTCAAAGGTTGAGATTTAATAAAATTAATAATGTTTACTGCACCATCATGGACATTTTTAAGAGGAACTAGCTTTTGGGAAGCCACACTCCGGACGCCCCACTCTGCTCTGCTCACTAGGCCCGCCAGCCTGCGCCCATCATGGCCACCATTCAGCAGCTGGTAGGAAGATGGCACTTAGTGGAAAGCAAAGGCTTTGATGAATACATGAAGGAAGTAAGCGTGGGAATGGCTCTACGAAAAGTGGGTGCAATGGCCAAACCAGATTGTATCATTTCTTCTGATGGCAAAAACCTCACCACAAAAACTGAGAGCACTCTGAAAACAACACAATTTTCATGTAACCTGGGAGAGAAGTTTGAAGAAACTACAGCTGATGGCAGAAAAACTCAGACTGTATGCAACTTCACAGACAGTGCGTTCGTTCAACATCAGGAATGGGATGGGAAGGAAAGCACAATCACAAGAAAATTGGAAAATGGGAAATTAGTGGTGGAATGCATCATGAATAATGTCACCTGTACTCGGGTCTATGAAAAAGTAAAAATTCCATCATCATTTTGGACAGGAATTAGCTGTGAGGATGAACAAGCTCAGTTCAATGAGCAAATCTCCAAACTGCTTTTTTTTTCATTACTGTGTTCTATTATCTTTATCATAAGCATTTTACATGCATCTATTTCAAAGTGTTGATTTAATTAGGATCATCCCTTTGGTTAGTAAATAAATTTGTGCTAAAAAAAAAAAAGAGGAACTAGCTTTTCTTTTTCCTTTTTTTTTTTTTTTTTTGACTGAGTGCAGTGGGAAAAACTCAATGATTACTAGTAGTTAGATGCCACTGCCTTAATTCATGCTAAGGAACCAGCAATTTTGCCACCATTGTTTCTGTATCAGCAGTGCAAGTGTCAACATAGTGTAAAAGGCAAATAACATCGTCGTACTACATGAAAATGCTTTTGACATTATGAACCCCCAGGGTTCTTCAGGACACTGAGAGCCACATAACTCAAGAAATGTAGAAACTTCACAGAACAGGAAATATTTTATTGTGCTTCTCAAAAAAGAATTCATAGTGACTAGCTTCAAACCTTCTTGCTCTTCATAAGGCAACAAGGAAGATTCAAGAGCATTCTAAATAACTATATGCAACAAAAAAAAATAGAAACCTATAAAAGATTTTAAACATGGTCAAGTGCTAAATCCCAACCAAGAAAAAAAATTGTATAGCAAAGAGCTCAGAATTTTCTATTTGAGTCAAAACTGCGGATTAGATTATACACATGGCATTTTATTAATTATGTCTTACCTTAGCTCTAGAGGAACTGACATTTTCCATATTTTCAATGCTGCAGATACAATTCTGTGAAACTTTCCGGCAAGCCACTCTGATATAGTCCCAGAAGCTACGAGGACTTTCATAACCAAACCAGGTTACTTGACCTTCAGGAGACAAATTGTAATACAAAATAAAAGAAAACTAGACTAGAAAATTCAAAATGCAAGAATAAAATTCTGAAAAATAAAAGATAGCCTACTGTGCCATAGTGAAAAGGGCACTAACCCGAGTAGCAAAAAAGCCTTCAATCTAGTCCTGCTCTACCTCTAACTAGTTGTGTTACTGTGGACATTTATTTAATAGACCTGGATCATAGTTTTCTCAACAACAAAATCAAACAAATGAAAGAAAAAGGGACCAGACACTAAAAAAAAATCTCTTGCAGTTTAATAGTTTAATATTCCACTATTCTAAGGCAGTCTTTTAGATACCTCCCAGAAAACCCTTCTTATGGTTCTAGTTAACCATTAATTCACATGTCAAAGGTTGCATTCTAAAGCTTTCTCTACTTAGAGAAACAGAAAAAATAATCACACTTTTCCTCCTCTTCATAAGGAAACTTCCAAGAAATGAAACAATGTTGTGGTCTATCTTCTAAGTAAACATGATGAATTAGAATGCTATGTTCACTGATCAAACATAATCTACCCAACATTCTCATCTAGAAAGCCAATAAAGTTCCTCTCTGTCATTCACCTGCTCTCTTCTAGTTGGCAACCCATGAAAAGTCCTTCAGGCATTTACCATTATAATTTTTCAGATTCAGGTAATTATGTGTCTACTCATGAACAAATGTTCTTTTGCGTGTTATCTTACATCAGTATTAATATTTCTATATGGGACTCTGAGTAGTGGTCCATGGGCACCATTTTGTACTCTGAGCATTTTTAAGTAGGATATAAGAGATACCTTAATTCTTTCTTTAGTTTTCTGGAATGATTAGTCTTACCTAGGAAAGTTGTTTAATCTTAAAGTAGAAAGATCTGCTTTTACATTTTAAATCTGGGCTTCCTTAATTATTTATCTTAAATCTTCCTATCCCCAGTAATAGCTTCTCTGTAGCAAAATCAAAAGTATTCTTGTCAACAAGCACCATTTTAGGAGTGATGTCTCAAATGATAGTTCAGTGGTTTCCAACCACAGTGGCCTGTAACAATAACTGAGCTGATTTTTAAAAAATACCTATGCCTGGACTCCATCCCAAGGTAAATAATCAAAATCTTTAAGGGTGGGCCCAGGCATAGGTATTTTTTAAAAAGATCCCCTTGGTATTTCTAATAATGTATTTATGGTTAATTAACCAATAGAAATTGTACATATCATGATAGGTAACTCCTATTCATTATTCAGGACATTTAAAAGTCCTTTTCTTCTTGTAACCCACATATGATCTCTACAGCAGGTCAATCCCTCCCTATGTGCTGACATAGCACCCTATGCTTATCTATCCTTATAACTATTTACTTGATTATCTTAAATTTTAAGTGGTATTATCAGTAAGGCAGGGATTGTGTCTTGTTTGACTTCAAATCAATCTCCAACACTTCATGCTTGGCTCATAGTAGGCATTCAGTAAATATTTGTTAAACAAATCAACCGGTAAATCAACACAAAATATCATCTTAATTGCAAGGCACATAAAATTTGAATTTTAAAAATCTATCTTGTTATAGTGACAGTTCAATGACAATCTGGTATTAAGAAATGTGCATCCTAGATTACAAATATCAAACATTCCGGACAAACATACCTTTGTCTTTATAAATAAAAATACAAAAGCTTCTCAAATCCTTATTCAACTCAATGTCTCTAAACTCAATGTTTCTTTAAAAATCAAATCTTACTACCTACAAATAAAAATATATAGGAATACTTATAATCTCCCTTCTTCCTCTCAATCTCTCCCTGTCACTTTCTTTTGCCCCCTCTGTTCTTTGAGTTAAAAAAGGTCCTGGTACAGTACCTTACTATAGTTTGTCTTTAGGACAATATTCATGTCATTAATTTGTTAGCCATTTGGAGAGGAGGCGGGATGTCTACTGGTTAAGAATATGAGATCTTGAGCAAATGAGTTAACTTCGCTCTATCAATCAGGGTTTCTTCTATAAGTTGACAATAATGGCAGTACCTACCTGATAACACTGTTGAGAGAATTAGATGAGATAATCTATGTGCAATTAGTTTATAGCCTGGTACAAATGTTAACAATTATTACCACTATTATTGCTATTATCATACAAATAGTTAAGAGACCTAAGCTCCTCTGTACTGTAAACAAAGTGGGAATGGGATGCAAAATTAAAATTTCCCCCTTACTTGCTCAGAATCTAGAAAAATGCTTAAAATTTACTCCCTAATGCAACCTTTTCCCATATCAACCATTTCAAATTTACCTCCCCAAGATATTTCTAGTCTCAACTAATTTTCTTTGGCTTCTATTAATTAAGATCATTCTATAATTTAAAATGAGAGGTACAGCCAGACTTCCATCAAGAAAGGATCTTAAAGAAAGGGAACATCACAAGTTTTCTCTGTTGACTTTATTTTAAACCTTCTCATGAGTTTGACATGGTTAAGGAAAATAATTTATGAGAAGTTTTAAAATAAAGCTGTCAAAAAAAATCACAAAAGAATATAACAAGGCCCCACTTTGGAGGAGAAGAAAAAAGATATCAAAAAACAAAATCTAGGCTAAGGTTAACAGAGAAGGAATGGGCACTAAATCCTTGGGACTCCTGCTATGGGTAAGATATGCTGTCTATAAGACTTTCACCCAAGAGACCATGGCAAGATTTCCCAGATTACAAACTGAGAAACTGAACAATTAACAGAATAACATATCATCATAATTTGCAGGCCTTAAATAAATAAACCTGTAGCATCTTCACAACACTATTATCAACTTAGCAAACTAGATGTGAGGATGACTTGGCTTGATTATATCTTCCTTCCTCTTCCATGTACATCATTTCCAAAGTGAAGTTCTGAATTAAAGACACTGAATTTTTCATATTCAGAAGAATCTGCTTTGATTAAGAGAAGATGTATTCCCTTGTTAGGCCTCCAAACAAACTTTCTTGTAAATCATATATTCTAGAATTTTATGTAAATAATTAAATAATTTCTGCATCTATGAAAGAGTTAAATTTAATTTAAAATAATGGAAGCATTCAACTGGTTACTTGAGATAGTATTTGAAGATCATTTTTACTTAAGCTCAGATTAATAGCAAAAGATGTACTTAGGCTATTAGTCTGTAATCACTATTCAACAGAAAAATTAAAAAACAAAGCTAAAAGCTGATTGTGCCTTTTAAAATAACTATTGAAGCAATAAACAATCACTCCCCAAATATTTTCATTTCCTTTAAAAATAACCATAAAAGCAAATCACACAGCAAGGAAACAACTAGTCTATATCTTGAAGAAATTTTATTCCGGAGAAGAAATATCCTGTCACTAACAGAATTCTTTTAAAAGCTATTGATAGGTCTATAATATGCTTTCTGTTACATGTTTTCTTAGAAGTTAACTTTTACCAATGATGAAGTTAAACAACTTTTTCAAAACTTATTGACATTCCATCAATCTGACTCTAATTCATTTTAAGGCAAAGAAAGAAAGGGTGAAAAGTTTGCTGGACTAGGGGAGCCTGGGTGGCTCAGTGGGTTAAGCATCTGCCTTCGGCTCAGGTCATGATCTCAGGATCCTGGGATCGAGCTCCGCATCAGGCTCCCTGCTCAGTGGGAAGCCTGCTTATCCCTCTTCCACTCCCCCTGCTTGTGTTCCCTCTCTTCGCTGTGTCTCCCTCTGTCAAATAAATAAATAAAATCTTTAAAAATAAAAAGTTTGCTGGACTAAAAGGTAATGTGCCACTGACCAGCTATGTGATATCTTTCCCACAAAACTGCCTTATTTTCAGCACCTAAAAATGGCCTGTGATCTCTAAGGTCCAAGGTTATTTTAAAATAACTCTTCTAAAAAAATTAAAAAATAAAATAAAATTACTCTTCTATATTTCTTAAGTTAGACATCTGTTTACATCATGCAATGTATCTGTGTTTTGCTTATATCTTGGTTCACAGCTGGAATGAGACCTTCTAAGAACAAGGACTAAATTTTCTTTTTTTTTAAATTTTTTTATTGTTATGTTAATCGCCATACATTACATCATCAGTTTTTGACGTAGTGCTGGGTGTTATGCACAAACAATGAATCATGGAACACTACATCAAGGACTAAATTTTCTAAAGTGGTTCTCTACTAAGTAGTGACTGACACATCATCTTTTGATAATATAAAATATAAATGAATCTGTTAAGTAACTTCCTTTCTCTACTCTTTGTATAAGTGCTTACCTATGTAAAGAGCAAATGAAAAACTCATCCCCCAAGCTGAAGTCTCATTAGTGTTACAATGCATCACCTAGATGACAGTATCAAAGACTATCACCTTGGAACTGCTACTCAACTAGACAAGCAATAAAAGATAGTCCCATCGAATTTTATTTAACCATTCTGATATCACTGTAAAAGTTTTCAGATACTTAAAGGAAAATGGTTACAGGTGGATTCATCGTTGCCAATATATTAGCATTTAGATGAATTCAACTTTTAACTTTTCACTTTAAATTTTCTAACAGCAATCTTGAATTTCTCACTGCTAATTTATAAAAGTCAGTTTAATATTTTCTATTTTATTTTTGCTAAGCAGAGAAAACTCCCATTTCTGCAAGAGGACAGAGTCTTTTCCTTTTTTAAAAGAAACTACTATTTTTAGTTAAGGTTCATATTTATTAGACTACCAAGCTTTGAAAGTAAAATAATGACCTTGATTAATTTTCTAAATAAAATTTCATATTAATATTCTAAAAAAGGAATTTAAACACTTTAAAAATAACTTTAATTACATATTAAGCTGAATCTTAATAAGTATGAGTCTAGATTAGATACTCAGTTGTACTTCTATTGCTAGCTCTGTATGTTACTTACAGGACATCTCAAGTAAATCATTTAACAACTATGAAGCACAGTTACTAATTTACAAAACATAATTATTATTCTTTGTTACTGACAATGTCTTGTTCACTGGTAAGGAATTTATCACAAATATCTATAATATGTATCTAATACCATAAAAATGAGTCAATTTGTAATCTTTCAAGACAAAAAAAAATCAAGATAACGAGGTTCACCAAAAATCTGAAAATTGAATTTGACTTAAACTTTTTAGCCCAGTAATTTTACCATCTTTGTCTTCTACCAGCTTTTTAACAAAAGGCTTAGAATACCGGCAGACTGAATTAGAGTTCCAAAGGCTGAACTCCATACAGAGAGCAACACATAAATGTGGGCCCTGAAGAAATCAAGCATATTCTGTTTCCGTAGTGATTAAGGCTATACATAGAGGACAGAAAACAAATGAAACTGTTTAAAATGATGACTTGTGGGAATGAGGGTTGAGGAAAAGAGGCTTGTTTTCTACTTTCCATCTTTTGCCTTAATTGTAATCCTTGGAAATATGACTATATATTTCTTTCCTAATTAAAAAATATACTAAAAGGCTAGTCCATTAAGTACAGAACCTAGCAGTATTTTGCAGACAATAGGAATTCAATTAAAAAGTTTTGAGTAAGTGAATAAAGGCATGCATTCTACCTGGGAGAAAGGAAACTAAGGAATATATTCCCACTAATGATTCCAGAATGGCAAAGCAGTTATTGATACTGCCCATGAATGTTTCATTGACTAACTTTGGAAAAATCACACATCTTCCCTAAGCCCCCAGTTTGCATGTAATACAAATATTATTACACAGCACTTACAAAATTGAGGAGATAACTAATAATTCTTATACTGTTAAGAGTTACAATAAAATGTAATTGCACAGATACGCATGATTAATAAAAGTGATTAAAACCATGGGAACTTAAAGAAATATGGAGGGGGTCACATGAGAAAAGAAGGAGAGTAAATGGATTATTATATTGTGTGGGTTTACAACAAGATTTTAATTTAAAAGTTAGCATAAGCATATTTGTGCCCTCTGGATTAACAAAAGCAAAAAAAAAAAGCTTTGCAAAACCCATGCAATGTACTAAAAGAGATCACTTAACTGATACAGCCCTCCCCAGTAAGTCAATTCCATGCTCCCGCGCAGCTCAGTGGCGGGAGACATCACCAGCATAGAGTACCTTGAAGAGGTATTTGGAGATGAGCCAGCCATCTGCAACTTTGGGATATCTCTTTAAAAAAAATAAACAACAACAACAACATACAGATATTTAAGAAACCTGCCATCAAGTTTACAATTGCAAACTGAATAGCCCAAATAAGATGGCTACACATTATCTGGATGCAATAAACACTACATTTACCTAATAAATAAAATGAACTCAGTTAAGATGAATATGAGGTATACTCAGCACGTAAATCAAACTGGTACCTTGTCACCTATTCTACTGGAGAAGGGAGGGTATCTGTAAGTCACAGAAACAGGCTCCCTGTTTACTTTCAGGGCCATCATTCTTTCCCAAGCATGATAGGCTGATGATGACAGGGCAAAAGGAGCAAAAGCTTGACTGAATTTGCTAGCTTTGCACCTCAGAGTTTTTAAGATTTGTTAGGAAAATTATTATTAAACTATATGTCTTATAAAGTTTCAACTTTAAAAATGCATTTATTTTACTGTTAACTTTTCTAAAAGTTATAAGAAAATTCATTTTGAAGAACAGCTCTTATTTTTGGGGCCTAAGAGGAGTTAAAATTTTTATGTTTTTTTCTTTTGTGAATTATGAGAACAGCACTTAGATATCAAGTAGAATGTTCTTCAGTTTAACCAATGTTGACTGAATGCCTACTTCATGCAAAATACTGTTTTATTTCCTACAGCTTCCAATTATTGTTTAACAACCACCATCTGGAAAAGTACTGTAAATCCTTGCTATGTTGTTTGGAAATTCCTAGTATAATTATACAGGAAAACTCCAAAGCCAAATTTCTAAAGTCGCATTCCCCAAAAATGATCTTTTCTTCTCTCATAACCAAACACCGAAATCTCCAACAGGACATGGTCCCATATACCTTGCCAATTATTTATACCCTTTCTGAAACCAAACAAAACCAGTAGCACACACAGTCGGTAATGTATGAAAATGAAAGGAAGATGATGTAGATAGTTTGTGCTACTGGCTACATCTATGTGTTGACCATTCACTCTCTATCCTCCTACTTCAATGTATAACATTTTTAATGACTATTAAATTTGGAAACACATATCCAAAAGGAACTATAATTTGGTATTCTAATTGAACCCACATTAGAAGATCATGTTGTTGCTACAACTACTACAAAAATGAAAATTTCTCAGGATTGAGATGCAAATCAGAATAGAGTGCTTTTCATTGCAAATATTAAGACAATTCTTAATGTTTAAACCACATTTACTATCTCTGCCCTGACAACAAAGTTATGTAGCTTATTTGCAGTCATTAACATAACCAAAAAAGTTATCAGAGTAAAAACAATGTCCACGAAAATCTTACTTAAAAGAATTTTACTTCAAAAAATGTATTAAATAGGGGGCACCTGGGTGGTTCAGATGATTAAGCATCTGCCTTCTGCTCAGGTCATGATCCCAGGATTCTGGGATCGAGCTCCCTGCTCTGCGGGGAGCCTGCTTCTCCCTCTCCCTCTGCCTGCCTCTCTCTGTCAAATAAATAAAATCTTTAAAAAAATGTATTAAATAAGATATATCATGTCCAGATTTATGTCATGACTTAATCAATCCCTGGTATAAAGTGAGAAACAATTACTAACTCTATTATAAATCACAATTTATAGATTAGTATTTTTTTAAAGCTGTTAGTATGTTAGCCTTTATGTCTTCATTATGCAAATGATTTTTATTTTGGCTGTAAAATACCACATGAAAATTTAAAAAAATTAAAATGCTTTCACTTATTTGTAGGCCTTAATTGCTTTAATCATAATTTAGTATCTTACTCTACATCAGTTATAAGGAACCAGGAGCATCCAGACTAAGTAACAATCCACTAGATTCCAAATTATCTGTAATTAAATTTCAACAACTCTTTCATTTTATAGATGAGAAAGCAGAAGGCCAGAGAGAGCATGCCTATACCATCTCTGTTTGCCGTCACCTCATGCTATCTACTTGTGAGACAAGATTTGACAGGAGGAGAATCAGTCAATTGGTTTTCCTGGTTGGTTATGAGTTCTCACTGACAGCCTCAGAAATAAGAAAAACAAAACAAAAAAAATGAGCAGTAAACTTATAGTGTGACTGGGGTGAATATTTTTGATATAAAATTTAAATTCTTAGCACAGTTGCTGCCAAAAAAAGTAAATGAATAAGTGAATTACAAAGCTCACATTATTTCAGAGTGGCCCAAGGAATTGTTTGGAGAAAAGGGTCTCATTTGCAACTGAAATAAAACCCGTTGTTATAAAATATATTAATGTTAAGAGAAACAGTATTTTACCATTAAGCAGAGCAGAAAAACAGTTTCAACAAAACTAAGTATACCAAAGTGTTTTGTTAAAAAAACAAAATTCATTCAAATGTACCATTACAATCATATCATATATAGTTATAGTAGGTGTTAATTTCTGAAATTTTAGTCAAAAGAAGAAACTACTCAGAAATGGATACAATAAAAGAATGTTTAATCATACTAAAGATACAGTATTTTCTGACCCCAAATGAACTTTCAAAAACAACTGAAAATAAATCCAACTATAATCTTTTCATTAATGTGGAAATTGGCCTTCATCCAGAAAAGATCACTGACCACAAATAAATCTGCCTTGGTGATAAGACTGAATATAATTCTAGTTCATGAATATGCCATTTATTCTGCCATTTTTTTCATGTTAGTTCTTGTTCCAACTTTAGCTTTCTATTCATTTTGATTTCTTTGATGACTAAGCTACATTATCATGATTGATATAATTTGATAAATGCAGAAGGTGAACATCTGCCTTCGCTATATTCTAATTTTTTCTCTTTCTCTGTGTATGTATTTTTCTAATAAAGTTAGAGGGAGATGACTTTATTTTTAAATGATCCAAGATGGATTCTAAAATAAAATCCTTAAATGGATTTGTAAATTGCCATTTGAAAGGCAAATAACAAAACTGATTATAAATTATCAGATAGTGATTCAGAATTTTCACAAGTTTTTTTTAATTGGCAATACCAAATAGAATATACTTTATTTTGTCACTGATAATATTCATGCAAGTTCTTATTGTTTGAAATTTTGGATCTTGAAGCCATGTATATATATGTAAGAGAAAAATCATTCAGTGAAGCAATATTTACAACTGTAGTATGTATTGTATTCAGCTAACAATGAAACAATATTATCTTCTTTTCTATGTGGTAATTTTTCATCTCTTAAGATTCTGAAATTAAATTGTACCATCATATAAAACTTATCTTAAGCTTTCAAAAGACTGCTTTAAAATGACATTTATAGGTAGATGGTAGATACATTAGAAACAAAAGTATTTGTTCACTGATTCAACAATTTTTAAAACCTGAGTATCAAAAACATGAAAATATTTTTCCTTTAAAAATAAAAATATGTTTCCTTTAAAAGTAATAGTGACTTTAAAGGAAACACATGTAAGAAGAATTTTAATAAAATATTAGGTTATATGAATGGACAACTCTTGAAATTAGAAAATCAGAAAGATGTAGTAAGTGAAATTATGATGCCCCAAAAATGAACTAAAGTTCATTAAACTGTGCAATCTCTTCCTTGTTCTATAAGAATGAGAAATATTTGAGCATTAAAAAATGCTGAATTTACATAACAAAAAATTTAATGAGACAGCAACTTTCCATTACTGAAAATAAACAAAATACAATTTAATAATTATAAGTACTGTAAGATGCTCTATGCTAATTCCACAAAAATCATCAGGTCAAACTGGAAATGTCCAATTATTTTTCTGGCAGAAATGCAAAGGGCTACAAACACAGATAAATAAACATAAGAAAGAAGTACCATCAGAGACCATCAATTCCTCCTAAATCCAAGAATCTGTATGACCTGGTAGAATCATAAATTTCTTTACCTCTCTTATATATTAAAAAAAATTTTCAAAAATATCTGAGGCAAGGATATCAATGGTAAATATTATTTAAGTATTTTAAAAATATTTTCTTCTAGGTGGTATGCCCATTCAGAAGTCAAATCTAGATTAGATTCCTTAATTTGAAAGGATTTGGGAAGTGAAGTTCATGTAAAATAAATCTAAAAATACTCCAGAAATAACAAAGTTGAAAACCACTAGTAATCTCTCATTCTGTAAATAAATAAATATTTAAATTAGGGGATTGAAATGACTCCTTGAAAATTCTAGTTTGGTTATAAAACATAAAGACCATATATCCAAATAAGTACAAATACTGAAGACATTTTTATTGTTCTTCACCCAGAAATGCTTACAGCAAATACCATAATTAAGAGTACTACTACAATCCTATGGCTCCAAACAGAAGCAAGTACTTAAGTATGTGGAGATTGTGTTTTAGAATTTTAAACATGCACAAAATTATATAAGATCTTATAAAACTAAGACAGGAAAAATATTTCAGATGTTTCAAAACAAATAATAAACTCTCAAGTGAAAAATGATAAGCATAAAATGAAATAATACCAATAGAAATCATGTAGAAAGACCAATATCAAGGAGAAAAAAAGAACCATTATTGATCAAAATGGGCAACATAAAAGCTAGTTCTATGTGATGTAAATAGTTTTTTTCTATTTGAGGGTAATTAAGAAAACTCCCTCCACAAAATAAATAGGCAAAGGTCATAATCAGGAAATGACAAAAAAAAAAAAAAGACTTTTAATAAACATGAAAATATCCTCAATTTCATTTGTATATACATGCAAATTAAAATAACAGAATATTTTATGTATTTCATATTAATAGAAGGCCAAAAAGATATTTTCCCCTATCAAATTAAAATTTTTTCATATTAGAATTTTTTAAATATAATACAATGAGGATATAAAAATAACAATTACATACATTATTATTGGTACAACTTTTCTGGTAGACAATATAGCAGCATATATTAAAATAATAGTATATATATCAGAATGTGCATAGCCTGCATTTCAGTAATTACAACTTTAAGAATTCATTAGCTAATACCATTAACAGGAAATAATTTTAAAGAAATTAGAAAACCATGTAAACA